TTTCGTATAGTATCAATGAGGTACTGTCCGGGGAGTATGAGAACGACGGTTGGTCAGTTGAGAGCAAGCGAAACAACTTCGCTATCTGATATGGGATTACTACGAGGCGCGATGTGAATCTTACTGCTATGCTTCCTTTGAGGAGACTCTCTTCAAGAGAGCGCCAACTCTTTCTTTGATTGCAGTTGTAGGGAATGCTGAACATCCCGAGTTGTGGTCAGACTGGACTCTCGTATCGACTTGGCAACTAGAAGGCCAGCTACGAGAGTGCCTGACAGGTTTTCACCTCGCAAAACTGTCGGCCTCTAAGGCAAGGGACTCACTCAAGTGTACGAACCCAGACCCATCAGTAGAGCGGCCAATAGCGAGGCTGTACTTGATGGGGTGATTGGCACAAGGGAGCATTAGGGGCTCAGCTGTGGTTCCTGGGGGTCACAGATGAATTCCGGAAGTTGATCATGGACTTACTTGCTGCAGTGACACCTGCTCCTGCATGAAGGATGGAGAGACCACCACATCGGCAAACTTGGGGGCGAAGTTGAGCTTGCGATACGTAGGATCGACTTGGCATTTGATCTTCAATATCTGATAGAGAGAGGACGATCGACGACGATTGTGATGATAGAGTAGGGTTATCGCTCACATCCAGCGACATCAGCACGACTTCCACGGCTCCCATCGAAGACTATCTTTGACGACAGGTTGGCCCCCGAGGTTATGAACTCGTTGTGGGGGCTCGTGGAGTGCTCCGTAACCGGCTTAAGGAAATAGTACGGCCCATTCGGCAACAAAACCTCGAGCGCCGCTGAGGGCCGCTATGGAGTAACCGCTCCATGTTAGAAGATAACCTGACCGATGGAAGAATCATGAGGTAACTTGGAGGTGAGCTAAACATGCAGTAGCCTTATTTGTTTTGCATCTCTAGGCAGGAGTATCTTTGCGTTTCACTGAGTAAAATCTTGCGACGCTCGAGGAAACCCACATCCCAGTCAAGCAAGCTCGAGTCACTCTGGAGAGAACCCTGTTGCCCAACGGAGGTTCATAATGCTGAAGATACGCCTTCAACAGCAGTTCTGGTACCATAAACTGTGAGTAACGGCTCCGACCAAATTAGGATTATCAATCAAAGTGATGTGGTTGTAAGGAAAAATAAAAGGTGTGGGATTCGAACCGCGGATGTGAGTACAACTCGGCTTGGTGCAACGACCTAGCTTACAGGAAGCAAGGAAGTTGTTTCTTTGCTCACCGTACTCATGAGACTGACATTAGAACTAGAATGATTTCTACTAAAGAGTGAGTCAGATGAACTTGAGTGAACTTGCCGCATTCACCATTCAGTGTGACGAGCTTACTTCAGTTTTTTGAGTTATTGTCCATTCTAGGCTAGAACTTGTAGCGTGAGAGAGTAGTTGCGGCGTAACATGATACAACTAGTCATGCCAAACAATAAATCGGGGTGGGACTGCATTCCTCCGGCCTTTGATCCGTTGCTTCACATACGAAACCATACCATGGGCGCTGTTCTTCTCTTGAGAGGTACCAACAATTTCAACTCGGTCGGTCCATGGACCGTAGACCACGGCTTCGTTCAACTAGACCCTCTCGCGTCCTGGACCCCAGCGGAGCTGCACTTTGACATGTTAGCTCTGAGGTCGAAGCTGAGCTGGGTGATCTCGCGGGCGATACTTAATCGCTCAGTCGTTTCCTGTAGTCGATGTATAGCGCACGCCGCTGTAACGAAGTGAAGCAAAAGTAGAATACAATTTCCCTACGACATGTGCACAGATATAAGGACGGATTCTCTATCGTCCGTCTTTCAGCACATTCGTAAGAAACAATGTGCATTTCAGTTATACGGTTAACCCGAACAAGTTAACGTCTACTAAGGGGTTAGAAACGGAGTGCCAATGCTTGCTCATTCAGGTTTGAGTGGGGACAGATCAACTACACCTCGAGCCAATTCAAGTGCTCGACAGCTCCGAACTTCGAGTTCCGAGTCTCAGTGAACAAATTTTCTAGCGACACCCTAATCAAGTGTACTTGCTCGGAAGGGTATGATTTCTGAGCACATTTTCCTAGTATGCTGCCCGAGCAGTTTATGCTCAAGTGTTTCCACCAAGTCACTGCCGGACTCGGAAACTCTGATCCCTCTTTCGAGGAAAATCGATCGATTCGAGAATCGTTCCGCTTCATGTTAATTCTCATGTAGCACATATAACTTGAAATTTCTAAGTTGATGTACCCCATATTTTAGCCAACTGTGTACTGGTATGCAGTGCATACTATGCACCCGGAGAAAGTATCGCTCGAATGCCACATTCGCTCGGCCGCTTGTGAAGGTGAAATTACGACATTCAGTGTTGCGTTAGCTGATGCTGTTACTTGACACTACTGTATATAGTAGAGATTTCGGTACCACCGACGATTATTCAGTTGGCGCGATACTCATCATGGTGGACTCCTTCAAGCTGTTGTTCGTTACCTCCTCATTCCGGTATATAAATGGTCAGTTGATGATCAATGCTACCCACGAATCCATAAATCCTTCGATTGTCACTCAGACAAATTGATTACGGGCGAGCGAGATTTATGCCTTGCACGAATTCAACGGGCTTGTGTTATGTTCGTGTCGCGCAAGTGCAACGTCAGGTGAAATCACAGTCGTTGAACAGTTGAACAGTGTGACATTACAGTTCTCATTGCATTTGCTACGGATTCCGCCTGAGGGAGGAGTAGACTCATATTCTAACAATACCACACAGACTACTTTTGATTACTTGTCGTAGTGCGGGTAACCGGTAGCTACATGTTATTCCTCCTCACAGAGTTTAGACAGTTCAACTTCTGTAACAGTAGCTCATCAACTACTTCGTCAACGCCATCATCCGCTGGCTCTTGGCCTTGGTCAACGTCACTGCTGGCGTAGTCCCTCTACTCCTCATGATTGTGGTATACGTCCATCTGAGTATTCTGCTTATTACTCCGTCGATCAGTGAGTACAGCAGGATTGCTTTCAACATCCTCTTCGGTCGTGATCTCAGCTCGTGCAATGTCAGATTGGTACCTAGTCGTATAAGGTGCACTGGAGGCGTATGCAGCTTCACTCAGGGAAGTGTTTCTATCCAGTGCTCTCTTACCAGGTGTAATTCAATCTAGTGTAACTCTAAATCAATGGCATAACACTGTTTATTCGTCCGGAGTCATTCCCGCATCTGAATTTGCGCAAGGCCGGGTAGAAAGAGGCCAGCCTACGGTTAGCGTTTGGTGCGGTAGCAATACGTAGGGGTGATCGACACTCCGAGAAGGGTGTAGAGGTTTTATCATTCGTTCGATGGATTTATTACGTTTCTCTATCACTTCCCGTCTCCGTCATGAATCCTACCATATAGTAGCTTCAACTACGCAACACTCCGAGGGCTCAATGGCTCACATATCTCCTCTGACAGGCTCGTGTTCAGTTTAATAGTCGCTCGGGTTTGAGAAGTTCTTCAGGAAATTGTATACTCAACTCGCGTATCTTATGGCAGGCTGCTGTACAGCTACATCAAAGCTTCTGAACTACTTCGTGATGGTCGTACTCTTTCTTGTTGGCGCCCTCGTCATCGTGGTTGCGTCACTCGTACTGGCATCCGATTTCCGCACACTAGTTCGTAACTGGTGGTTGTGGGTCGCTGTTGCTGCCGGTATAGTCATCATTATTGTCTCTTGCTTGGGCTGCGGTGCCACTAGAAAGCAGAATCGCTTCTTCTTGACCCTCTTCCTCATCGTAGCGGGGATCGTATTCGCTTTGCTCTGTGTAGCAGCGATAGCCTCCTCGATCTACATCGGTGATGTCAACGCCATCGCGAGGATGAACTTTGCTGAGCTCAACGAGGTCTCGGGTTCTGAAAAACAGTCATATGATTTCATACGAGAATCCTATGGTGATATTTACGACGATAACGAGTGTAGTGGTGGACAATGTCAGTTCCCAGCTGGGCAGGTCATCGCTTGCTCAAGAATCACTTGTAGAAGTTCCTCTAGTCTCGCGGACACTCTCAATGATTGGCTGAGGGAAGGTGTGAAGAATGGAGGCATCACTCCTGCCGCCTTCTCGACATGCGTCTCTCTAGCAACTGGTGACTCATCTTTCCGCGGTGGCAGTTCTGGAGCAAGCGCATGGTGTGGCAGTAGCACCCGTGTGCTCGATGTCGTAGATGGTTGGAGTTTGGGAATCCTCATTGGTCTTTGGGTCATCACTGCATTCGTCTTCCTCATATGCATCGGTAACTGCGTTTTGATATGCGGAAAGAAGAACCGATCTCAGCAAGGAGTGGTAGTTGCCAAACCAGTGCAAAGCACCGCAGGCCAGGTCTACTATACTCAACCAGGGTATGGTGAACAAACTGTAACGAAGGTTTAGATCGACAGCTCATGCCTCAGTCGATGGCCTCTTCCGGGTGTCTCATAGAGACCAGCACATTCACAGTGTTGAAAGTGCTTTAAATTTCCTCTCATTATTTGTAGAATTATTAAATATTATGGAAGCATAGTGGTGTTAGATCTTCATTGGTGAACAGCTTCAATTACGGTGATTTCTCTCCGTTTTCCCGGTTGTGGGGGGCACTGTTGTGTTGTACTAGTTCCTCGAGGCCGAATTCCCGGATGAGAACTCAGGGTAACAGCACGGTATCCTGTAACAGCATAGGGGGAGAAGTGCTCTCAATTTACTATTTGCGACACTAAAATAATCGTTCGAATCAAAGACGTGTTCATTCACCACTCTCGTCTCGTATAAACCTTTTCTTACGGATCCGTTTCGTGGATGATTGCAATTGGTGAAGACCACGAGAGGGCGACTTCGGCTACCAAGTCATACATGGGTACGATAAAGTCGAGGTATAGAGAGCAACTCATAAGTAGACAAGATCAGAGTAGCACCTGTAGTGGGGGTACTGGTGGCGACAGCGCCAGTCGGTTGACATCAGTTGTGGTATTTACAGCGGAATCCAGCTGCCTTGGTTTGTCTCAATTCCGAGAGTGAGGTACACGAAACTGATTCAACCTGACTCAGCCAGATATGGACGATCAGGATCGTTGGCAAAAAGACGATCCATCCTCTTCGTTTTCTCTGCTTGTACTAATTTCTGAGGTTGCGGATGCGTCTGGCTCCCGAATCCTTGCGCACTCAAGATACAACCCACACTCTCATATCACCGATGATGATGTGAACTGAGGCGACGTACTACGACCCAACCAGTTCATCATGAAGATTCCTGTATCAGGACTTCTGATATGCGTCCTTGCACTTGAGTAGTTCTATCTAGTTGCAGCCTGCAACTTGCAGGAAGGTGCGCTCAAGTATCTACTGGACTCGGTACACTCTGTAGTTCAGAGACAATGTCGTTGTTAAGACGGAGGTAGGTAGATATTGATATGGCTCCACCACATCTGAGTGCGGCAGATTACCGGCATCTGGCCTAACACTGGGACATCCAGCCCTTCTACATACTCACTGACTACATCAGTGCTTCTCTCAACGACTCAGAGTTGTCCGCTATCGTGACAATCCACTACTGAGTGGCGGTGCATCATCTCGAGCACCCCCTCCCCGTTCAGGTTGATGGGGCGGACCGTTGCTATCAACGCAAATCGAAAGTAAGCACTCATTCATTATCAACAGGTCATGCAGTGCCGCAGGTTAAGGAAAATGCGGTCCACCGAACATTCCAAAGCTTCATTGCACTTAAGTCTACGTACTCGGACTGACAGTTGTCTCCGCATCGACCTCTCCAGTGGTGGTAGCTGAGGCTTCGGTGATAACCTCGCCCGTAGTGGTGACACCAGAACCCGTAACTGGAGACCCTGTGGTGGTTGGGGCATCGGTGGCGACTCCTCCGAACGTGGTTGTATCAGCCGTCGTTGGCACCTCAGTAGATTCCCCAGCCACGGTAGCCTCGGTTGTTGTCAAGACTGCGTCGTCCGAAGTTTCAGTAGTGACCTGCAATGAAGTAGTCGCAGCATTGGTCTGCTCAGCCGAAGTTATCATCTCAGTAGTCGTGGGAGCTGCAGTAGTGTCTGCTACTCCACTTGTCACAATAGTCGTACTGGCCGTGCCGGTAGTGTCGACAGCAACAGAAGTGGCCGTATTGGTTTCTTCGGGAGCGGCTGTTGTGCCGTCCTGAATTGTGGTAGTCTCAGTGACTTCATCGGTGGCTTCACTTGGAGTAGTGGTAACTGGAGCAACCTCGCAAGTGCATGGCGCATTGGATGAATGGCAGGTGCTTGGTGTAGCCCAGTACTTGCAGTAGGAGCCAGGAGTATCCGAGGCACAACCAGCGTCACAATTACGGGGGGCTTCAGTTATTCCACCCGACCCGCAGGAACAAGGGACGTTGGAGCCAAAGCACCTGCTGGGTGTCTGCCAGTACTTACAATACGACCCGGGATAGGTGGCGGCACACTCGGCATCGCACTCGGTGGTGTTACCCATCACGTATGTGATGCCCTGAAGAACACTGAGACCAACGATGACGAAAGGGAAGGAACGGATAGCCATTTCCCACGAATGTGAATAAACTGCGGGAAGTGCCGAGCTAGACTGGACCTGTGAGGGCCTATGCTAACCCCATAGACTGATGCTAATTAGGCAAATCGTTCAAGCCTTAGTATGTCCAATGATGTTCGTTCGTTGTAGCTGAACAATAGTGCGCCCGATGTCTATCTCGCCGAATCGTTTCACAAGATACTGCATCTTATACAGTGTGGTGGGCGGTGCGTTCTCAGCCACTCTTCTTCCGAGAAGTTTGGTCGACTTCTCGCAAGCACCGTTTTGACCGATTAGACATCTCCTGGTTCGAGTCTGCGGCTCGTTCTGATGGCCAAGGCGAATGTGATGATCATGCAGAGCAATCGCTCGTCGCCGCTCACTATCAACGCTTAGGGGAGTATATTTCAGTTTACAACGGGTTGTGTAACCTGCAGCGGTCGGGCTTCGTGTACGTCTTCTAACTCTGCGTGGCTGTAGCGCACAGTTCATGACTCCTCATCGAGTCATACGGGAACTTCCTCGTTGTCCAATCCATCTGAAACCGCTGTCAAGGTAAATCTCAAAATAATTACTCAGCTGGATAAACCTTATTGGCTGGGCGGCTGGGCATCTACACAGCACGGTGCTGTCAGCACCACAATTGGCTTGATTCCCATAGGGAGCTACGCGAGTAACAAGCTCGCCCTCCGATTGCAGCCACCCTGATGCTTGGTCGGTGTCACACATGTCAAGCTTGATAAGAACACATTGAGCTGCAGAGGATACATCAGAGGTTCTAGGATATCCAACCTCTGTATTTGAGCTCACTATCAACAAAATTGTCAGTATATCAGCAATCGGAATTCAGACCCTAGGGGATCAACATGAGCTCATGCTACTAGCATGATGCTAGTGCGTAAGCGAGTACACCCACCGCTGTCAGTCTGGCGTGGCTTGCCCGCCTTCGCTCGTCTGTTTCAAACGCTCAGATAGCTCTGGTGCACTCCAGATAGGTTTCATATTTGGGTGTATCGTCGATGCTCTCGTGATGTTGGGGCGCAACGTATCCTTCAACGCAACTCGGGCAGATAAACACTTATACACTCGTTATCAAGACATCCTGCAGTGGCCAGGATTGTATTAAAATGCACTCCGGGACATTACAAAGCTTCATTAACCTAAATCGGCTACACAATCGGACTGAGAGTAGTCTCGGAATCGGTCGTCTCCACAGTGGTAGCAGCGACCTTATCGGTCACAGCAGCTGTGCTGACCGGCAGAGGGGACGTAAGAGTAGTAGGCTCGACAGGAGCATCGATCGTAGTCGTGACAGTCGCCCCTGTATCATTGACAGGCGACCTCTAGATAGTAGTAAAAGTAAGTTGCTCCCAATGACCCACTCGACATACGCAGGCTAATTACAAAGGCATAAGCTCGTCACTTAAGAACGCTTCGGCTGTATTCACCAGTCACTGTGGATGAGTCACATGCCGACGGCGATAATATTATTCATCCTGGGGTTGTTATGACCTCCCGAAGATTCCGGTTGCTCAGGACCAACGATTATTCTGAAGTATTCTCTCCATGTTTTGAGGTTCACTTCAAGTGATCAAATTCACCGCCAGTGTCAGAGGGAAAAAGAGATCGACTGGTCTTAACTCAAACGACTCGAGTGATCCGGAAAATGGAAACAATTGTGGTCACCTCGAGAGGGTGACGGAGAGAAATCATATAGGAGCTACGAATACGGTGATGGTTTATCTCGAAGACCCGTGCTGATTCACAAAATGGTATTCATAAGAAGGAGAAAAAACTCAATGTGGAATCGTCCACTGGAAATAAGACAGATTCATTCCCACATCATCCCACTCATGATGAGTGACTCATCAAGGACTCATATGCATCGAACACTACGAACGGGCCCCATGGTCTGGGACACTCATGTAGATTTCATTGCCACTTATCGAAGACATAGTAGTTCTTGAGCTACATGGTGTTGCGGGGACTGGTGAGCGCCGAAGCGCTGTATGGGAGTTTGACTGATAAAGGCCGAAATAATCAACTCGA